AGCTTGTTGGCAAGACTCTTCTTCTCGAAGTGGTCTTCCAACCTTGACCATGCGTCGCATGCACCACTTGCCGACCGGACCGACGGTAGCTGGGAATCTTCCATGGCTAGACAGATCACTGCCATCGCCTTTCTTGACTTCCTATTGTACGTCGCTTGGTCCAACTGAGTCTCGCACTGTTCCGCCTTGATCTCACCGCTGACGACCTCCCATAGGTCCCGTTCCTCCAGCACCATCTGCATCTTGAACTTCCAGGCGTGGAAGTTAGTTCCATCGAACTTGGAGATGCGGAGGGAGGAGGCGTTCATGGCAGCTAAGCTTGAACTGTTGGCGGTTTCAGAGTCTGACGAACTTGGGCTCATAACCTGATGAACTTTAGAATTCTTGGTCCGAGTGCAAAACGCAAAGTAAATATATATTTATAATAGGTACTTAGTTCGCAACTTTGAATACTACCTCTAAGCCTATTATTCGCAGTGACGTCATCCAGTGACGTCACCCACTGACGTCACCCACTGACGTCATGCAATTACGTCATCCAGTGACGTCATTTCCTGACTTCGCCCTTACTGGTACATACCGGTACCCACCGGTATAGTGAAGCTTGGTCTTCCACTTGCTTCAACACTTGACGCAGCTTGACGAGGTGTCTTCTTTACAGCCGCTGTCTTTTCAACAGCGAGCTCCGTCGTGTCGCACGAACTTGACCTTCTTACAGAATTGCGTCTGTACCATGGTGATATATTTCCGGATGTAGTCTTCACTCTCGGACTTCACTCGTAGACAAAAGCCCTTCATGCATCCACTGGCTTCGTCGATGATCAGCAGCAAATATTTGCTGCCACCGAGCGAATCCTTTTCCATGGGCCCGCAGATGTCCAGATGAAGTAGCTCAAACGTGTCGTAACTTCGCTTGTCACGATTGCTTGGGAATGGGTTTTGGACCATTTTCCCTTGCTGACATCCTCGACATGTACCTGATCCACTTGACTTGAGAGGCACTCCCACATCTTTGATCATGTTGTTGGAGACCATCTTGCGAAGCACGTCGACTGTAGCATGACCCATTCTCGCATGTAGATCGGCACAACTGGTTCCACTTGTTGTCACATTCGCTGATCGTTGAGTCGTCCGAAGCCAGTAGAGTCCATCCACGAGATCCGCTGTCGCCACCACTTGCTGTGAGTTCTTGAGAGTCACATACATCTTGGACCCGTCAAACACGACTTGAAACTTGCCATGGCTGTTAATCTGTGGCACCGAGAGCAGGTTCTTGCTCATACTTGGAACATATAGCGCGTTCTTGATTTCGATCTCACGCTCTTCACCGTTGGGCAGAACCACCTTTTCCATGATGGTTCCCACACCCTTGATGGCCACCTTGTTGCCATCAGCCACCAAGAGTTCGCCCTCATTGCGCTCTGCCAAACTTGCGAACTTGGTCTTGTCGTGGCAAATGTGGTGCGTTGCACCACTGTCGACGGCCCACATTCCAGACACGTCCTTGCTCGTCGAAACTCCACATTCAAACGAGACTGCAAACGCCACTCGATCGTAGCCATTGCCTTCATCATGATGTCCCCACTGGACATTGTTAGCCCCGCGTCCACGACCATTGCCGCCGCGTCGGGCTCCCCGACCTTCGTTCTTCTGCTTTGTCCAGCAACGATCCACCGTGTGTCCCACCTTGCCACAATACGTGCATTGGTAGGGCTCACGCTCGGCGCTGAATGCCTTGCTTGCATCTTCAGCCTTCACCGTAGTCGCTGTCGTTGTCCCTTTTTCTCCTTGACGCTTGGCATGCTCATTCGTCAGGACTCTCACCACATCTTGAGTGCGAAGCTCGGTGCTGCTCATTTCCATGTTGAGCACCACATTTTCGTAGCTCTTCGGAAGACTGAGTAGCAGACAAATTGCAACGTCTTCGTCTTCCATCTTCGCACCGATGCCGCTAAGCTTGGCGGAGATGTTGAGGACCTCGTTGCAGTGATGCATGACGTTCGCGCCTTCAGCCATCTTGATACTGAAAAGTTGTCGCTTGAGGTAGATGCGTCCTGCCTTCTGCGACCCACCGTACAGCGTCTTCAGACTTGTCCACGCAACCCAGGCTTCCTCGCAGTTGTCCAGCACATGATGGTAGTCCGCGTTCATGTGCAGCAGCATCATACCAAACGCGACGTTGCTTGCCTTGACGTAGTCATCGGACGCTCGCGGGTCGGTGAAAGTCGGAGTCACTTCACGGTTGACAACGTGCCAGACGGACTTCGTCAAAAACACACCGCGCATGTACCGGCTCCACGTTGCGTAATTGTCTCCGTTGAACTTGTCAATGGAGGCGTTGCTGGTGGACGACATGGCGCTTGGGCTCATAACCTGTTGCATTGTAGATCGGAGCGAGGAAAGCGGAGCAAACGGAGCGGAGAGACCGAAGAGAGTAGAGCAGAAAACACTTGCCCAATAGTTGGAAGATTCGAAAGTGATTGATTATCGGGGCTTACTACTTACTACATGATTTATATGTGGTGTACATATAAATCATGTGAAGCGTCTCATCATCCTACGCGTCTAATCAACTATGGTAATTACCGTAAGAACTACGTCGTAAATACTAAGCTGAACAGGCGGTTCGGATTGGATCGGTCACGGTTACCAATACTGGTAGAAAACCGATGACCGTCAACAGAAAGGTCGCAAGGCCATCGGGTGCCGATGGGTTTTTCGTGTAAAGGAGAATCAAGATGGCGAAGTTGAACTTTTCAAGGCAAGACTTGTGGCCAAAGGATTCTCACAGAAATTCGGAGTTGACTATGAAGAAACTTTCGCACCGGTGGCCAAGTTCACATCGATTCGTGTGGTGCTCAGTATGGCGGCCAAGTACGGCCTAATGCTACATCAGATGGACGTCAAGACAGCGTTTCTTAACGGCTCCCTCAACGAAGACATCTACATGGACCAGCCGGACGGATACCTGGATGCAACACAGCCGGACTATGTGTGCAAGCTAAAGAGATCACTCTACGGCTTGAAGCAATCGCCTCGCATGTGGAACCAAACAATCGATGGGTTCATGATCAAGATGGGATTCAAGAAGTGCGAATCGGACCACTGCATCTACATCAAGCGAGACGACCAAGACATGATTCTCGTGGTGCTCTACGTCGATGATCTCATCCTGGCCAGCAGCAACAACGAACTCCTCAAGTCAACCAAGATGGCGCTGAGCAAACGCTTCGAAATGACGGATCTCGGTGAGCTCGATTACCTTCTCGGCATGGAGATCAAGAACGACCGTAAGACGGGAATGGTGACTGTGCAACAAACCAAGTTTATCAAGTCCGTGTTGACCAAGTTCGGAATGGATAACAGCAAGCCAGTGAAGACGCCTCAAGATCCCGGCCTGAAGCTAACCAAGAACATGTGTGAACAAGAATGCAAGCACGAAGACACCATGTGCAACGCGCCATATCGAAGTGCTGTCGGAGGCATCATGTATCTCATGGTCGCCACACGTCCGGATCTAGCTGCTGCAGTGGGATCATTATCCCAGTTCTCGTCCGACCCATGCCCGACTCACTGGCAAGCTTTGAAGCGTGTGCTGAGATACCTGCAAGCAACGCCCAATCATGGTCTTGAGTTTACACGTGAAGAAGGAAGCCGTATCTGCGGGTACACCGACGCAGACTGGGCCGGCGACATTGAGTCAAGACGAAGTACAAGCGGCTATGTGTTCATGATGAACGGAGGATGCATCAGCTGGAAAAGCCAGAAACAACGGACGGTCGCGCTATCTTCAACAGAAGCAGAATACATGGCGCTTTCCGAAGCAACCAAAGAAGCAGTATGGCTCAAAGTGCTTTTGGGGGAACTTGATGAGATGACAAGCGACGAAGCGATCAAGATGTATGAAGACAACCAAGGATCAATCGCTCTCGCCAAGAACCCGGAGTTCCATAAGAGAACAAAACACATCGACATACGCTACCATTTTGTGCGTGAGAAGGTGGAATCAGGTGAAGTCGTTTTGGAGTATTGCCCGACTCAAGATATGCTGGCAGACATGATGACCAAGTCGATCGCCGCTGTACAATTTGAAAACATTCGCGATCGACTTGGGATCCAAGGTGCCGCAGCTAACGAGTCGAGAGGGAGTGTTGAAAAGACAGCGGCTGTGAAGAAGACACCTCGTCAAGCTGCGTCAAGGGTTGAAGCAAGTGGAAGACCATGTTGAAAAGACAGCGGCTGTGAAGAAGACACCTCGTCAAGCTGCGTCAAGTGTTGAAGCAAGTGGAAGACCAAGCTTCGCTATACCGGTGGGTACCGGTATGTACCAGTAAGGGCGAAGTCAGGAAATGACGTCACTGGATGACGTCATTGCATGACGTCAGTGGGTGACGTCACTGGATGACGTCACTGCGAATAATAGGCTTAGAGGTAGTATTCAAAGTTGCGAACTAAGTACCTATTATAAATATATATTTACTTTGCGTTTTGCACTCGGACCAAGAAGTCTAAAGTTCATCAGGTTATGAGCCCAAGTTCGTCAGACTCTGAAACCGCCAACAATTCAAGCTTAGCTGCCATGGACGCCTCCTCCCTCCGCATCTCCAAGTTCGATGGAACTAACTTCCACGCCTGGAAGTTCAAGATGCAGATGGTGCTGGAGGAACGGGACCTATGGGAGGTCGTCAGCGGTGAGATCAAGGCGGAACAGTGCGAGACTCAGTTGGACCAAGCGACGTACAAGAGGAAGTCAAGAAAGGCGATGGCAGTGATCTGTCTAGCCATGGAAGATTCCCAGCTACCGTTGGTCCGGTCGGCAAGTGGTGCATGCGACGCATGGTCAAGGTTGGAAGACCACTTCGAGAAGAAGAGTCTTGCCAACAAGCTGTTCTTGCGCCGTCGCTTCTTCACGACAATGATGGAAGAAGGCGACGATGTGCTCGAACACATCAACAAGCTCAAGACGCTGGCGGAACAGCTAGAAGCGGTGGGGGCTCCAGTCTGCGAGGACGATCTGGTGATCACACTCCTCGGCAGCCTGAGTGACTCGTATCAATTCTTGATCACAGCTTTGGAGTCGCGCTCAGACACTCTTAGCTGGGAGCTCGTGACGTCTCGACTGCTTCATGAAGAAATGAAGCGGAAGGAGCAAGGAAGTAAAGGTGATGAAGCTTCGCAAGGTCAAGCGTTCATCACAAGGGACAATCAGCGCAAAGGGCGACCAGTGAAGAAGTCCTGGCCGTGCCACAATTGCGGAAAGATTGGTCACTGGATGGCGGAGTGCCCCTCGCGCATCCAAGAAAACACGGAGAGACACCGGCCACAGCGTGCTCAAGACAGCGGCGACCGCTATCGATCACAACGTGCAAACGTCGCTCAAGAAGAAGACTCGGGCGACTACCTCTTTTCGATCGGTGAAACGACATCTGCGAAATCGAGCGACATCTGGCTGGTCGACTCCGGGGCGACGCAGCACATGACGTGCTCCAAGAAGTTCATGCGGAACTACAAGGGGTTTGACGCTGTGGATGTCCATCTCGCGGATGATGGAATCGTCCAAGCAATCGGCAGTGGGGACATTGTCATGTCGATGAAGACACCCCAAGGGATGAAGAAAGGTGTGCTCACAAACGTGTGGCACATCCCAAAGTTATCCAGAAACCTGTTCTCGGTCGGCCGCTTCACCAAGGATGTCGGCCCAGTGACGTTCACGAAGGATGGGTGCTATGGAGAAGCGAAAGGGACCAAGTGGAAAATTGGTGCCCGTGAAGGTAAAGGACTGTTCAAGCTGCAAATGACTTCAGTGGCGCCGGAACAAGCAAATGCAGCCAAGTCGTCGGGATGTCAAGGGGGCACCAAGTCGTACCTCTGGCACCTTCGGCTTGGCCACATAGGTCACGATGGACTCAATTGCATCGTGACGAAGAACATTGGAATTGGCATCGACATATCTTCGGTGAAGAAGTGGGACGTGTGTGAAGGTTGTGCTCTGGGAAAACAGACTCGAGTGCGCTTCCAATCAAACACTACAGCTCGCACCTCCAAACTCCTCGAAGTGATTCACAGCGACGTATGCGGACCGATGTCGATGGCAACTTTCAGTGGAAAACGGTACTTCGTGACATTCATGATGCATTGTAGATCGGAGCGAGGAAAGCGGAGCAAACGGAGCGGAGAGACCGAAGAGAGTAGAGCAGAAAACACTTGCCCAATAGTTGGAAGATTCGAAAGTGATTGATTATCGGGGCTTACTACTTACTACATGATTTATATGTGGTGTACATATAAATCATGTGAAGCGTCTCATCATCCTACGCGTCTAATCAACTATGGTAATTACCGTAAGAACTACGTCGTAAATACTAAGCTGAACAGGCGGTTCGGATTGGATCGGTCACGGTTACCAATACTGGTAGAAAACCGATGACCGTCAACACGCCCCCTCAATCCGAATGCTCACGAATCCCGAGAGTCGCCGTCATCTTCTTGTGGCGTGGCCCGTGAAGTCCCTTCGTCATGATGTCCGCTAACATCACCGCAGTTTCACAGTACTTGAGCTTCACTTCACCACGCTTGACCTCATCACGGATGTGATGGTACTTGATATCAATGTGCTTGGCACGGCCGTGGTTGACTGGGTTCTTCGTCATCTTGATACATGACTGATTGTCTTCATGGATCATGAGTTCCGGTCCTTCTTCATTGGCAGCCATCACGATCTCACAAAGCAGACGATGAATCCACTTGCCCTCTTGAATCGCCAAGCTGAGTGCGATGTATTCGGCTTCACTCGTGGACAACGAAACACTTGGCTGCTTCTTGCTGCCCCAACTGACTGGCGCACCGAGTAGCATGAACGTGTACCCCGATGTTGACTTGCGGTCGGTAAGATCACCAGCCCAATCCGCATCCAAATATCCACGGAAGTCGATCCTTGCACTTGGCTTGTAGCAAATTCCATGCGTCTTGGTGCCTTGTAGGTAGCGAAAGATACGCTTAACTGCAACCCAGTGTTCTTCTTGGGGATTTTCCATGAACCGCGACACATAGCCCACAGCAAACGCAATGTCCGGACGCGTTGCAGTGGTCAGGTGCATCAACGCACCAACAGCTTCGCGAAAAGGAGCATCGACCTTGGTAGTTGCATCACTTGAAACAAGTCGAGAGCTCATGTAGACTGGACTTGCGACTGCCTTGCAATCATCCATGCCAAAGCGCTTGAGGATATCATCGACATACCGACGCTGACATAGTGTCACACTGCCATCTTCACCGTCCAAAAGCTCGATCCCAAGAACAAACGCACACTTGCCGCTGTCCGTCATTTCGAACCGCGTCTTCAGGTCGTTCTTGGTTTGTGCAATCAGCTCGAGCGAGCTTCCAGTCACCAAGACGTCGTCCACGTAGACCAGTATAAACACGCAATGGCCGTCCGAAGTCTTGATGTAGAGACATGGGTCGAAGTCCGATACTTGAAATCCGATGGAGCACACATACTCGTCGAACGTCTCGTTCCACACTCGCGACGCTTGCTTGAGGCCGTAAATTAACTTCACCAATTCCAGGCAGTCGAACGTACTGTCAAGTTCGACGCCTTCAGGAATCACGCAGAACACTTGTTCCTTCATGACGCCATACAGGAAAGCTGTCACCACATCAAGCTGGTCGATGGGCCATCCAAAATGCTTGGAAATTGCGATCACCATTCGCAGCGTCACATACTTGACCACAGGCGAAAACGTCTCCGTGTAGTCGATGCCATACTTTTGGCGGAAACCCTTGGCCACAAGTCGTGCCTTGTACTTCTCGATTGACCCATCCGCCTTGCGCTTGATCTTGAACACCCATTTTGTGCCAATGGCGCGTTGTCCGTTGGGCAGCTTGGCTGCACGAAACACACCGCGAAGTCGCATTGACTCGAGCTCTGCATGAATTGCTTTTCTCCAGTGCACTTGGTCAGGGCCGCTTACTGCTGCTTCAAATGTTGAGGGTTCTGATAAGTCCACTGCTGCTTCAACGGCATTTGCACTCGCACGCCAAAACACAGGCGGTGTTGAATCACCAGAATCCTTCGTTTCTTCGTCTTCTTCTTGTCGTGACGAGTTGTTTTCCGGCGCGCTTGACTCTTCTATTCCTGGTCGTTGACGCACTGCACGCGGTCGTGGAGCTGCTGTATCTTCATCATTGAGTCGGTTCTTGCGCTTGCCTGTTTGCTTGTACTCCATTTGACGCAGCTCTTCGTCATCAAGATCCAGCAATTCGAAGTCCAGGTCATCGACATCTTCATCAGTGATCGGCAGTTGAAGTCCAAAGGTGGACTCGTCGAAGTTGACATCGCGGCTGATAACCACCTGCCCCGCCTCGATGTCATAAACACGATATGTGTTGACGGTCATCGGTTTTCTACCAGTATTGGTAACCGTGACCGATCCAATCCGAACCGCCTGTTCAGCTTAGTATTTACGACGTAGTTCTTACGGTAATTACCATAGTTGATTAGACGCGTAGGATGATGAGACGCTTCACATGATTTATATGTACACCACATATAAATCATGTAGTAAGTAGTAAGCCCCGATAATCAATCACTTTCGAATCTTCCAACTATTGGGCAAGTGTTTTCTGCTCTACTCTCTTCGGTCTCTCCGCTCCGTTTGCTCCGCTTTCCTCGCTCCGATCTACAATGCAACAGGTTATGAGCCCAAGCGCCATGTCGTCCACCAGCAACGCCTCCATTGACAAGTTCAACGGAGACAATTACGCAACGTGGAGCCGGTACATGCGCGGTGTGTTTTTGACGAAGTCCGTCTGGCACGTTGTCAACCGTGAAGTGACTCCGACTTTCACCGACCCGCGAGCGTCCGATGACTACGTCAAGGCAAGCAACGTCGCGTTTGGTATGATGCTGCTGCACATGAACGCGGACTACCATCATGTGCTGGACAACTGCGAGGAAGCCTGGGTTGCGTGGACAAGTCTGAAGACGCTGTACGGTGGGTCGCAGAAGGCAGGACGCATCTACCTCAAGCGACAACTTTTCAGTATCAAGATGGCTGAAGGCGCGAACGTCATGCATCACTGCAACGGGGTCCTCAACATCTCCGCCAAGCTTAGCGGCATCGGTGCGAAGATGGAAGACGAAGATGTTGCAATTTGTCTGCTACTCAGTCTTCCGAAGAGCTACGAAAATGTGGTGCTCAACATGGAAATGAGCAGCACCGAGCTTCGCACTCAAGATGTGGTGAGAGTCCTGACGAATGAGCATGCCAAGCGTCAAGGAGAAAAAGGGACAACGACAGCGACTACGGTGAAGGCTGAAGATGCAAGCAAGGCATTCAGCGCCGAGCGTGAGCCCTACCAATGCACGTATTGTGGCAAGGTGGGACACACGGTGGATCGTTGCTGGACAAAGCAGAAGAACGAAGGTCGGGGAGCCCGACGCGGCGGCAATGGTCGTGGACGCGGGGCTAACAATGTCCAGTGGGGACATCATGATGAAGGCAATGGCTACGATCGAGTGGCGTTTGCAGTCTCGTTCGAATGTGGAGTTTCGACGAGCAAGGACGTGTCTGGAATGTGGGCCGTCGACAGTCGTGCAACGAACCACGTTTGCCACAAAAAGACCAAGTTTGCAAGTTTGGTAGAGCGCAACGAGGGCGAACTATTGGTGGCTGATGGCAACAAGGTGGCCATCAAGGATGTTGGAACCATCATAGAAAATGTGTTTCTGACCAACGGCGAAGAGCGTGAGATCGAAATCAAGAACGCGCTATATGTTCCAAGTATGAGCAAGAACCTGCTCTCGGTGCCACAGATTAACAGCCATGGCAAGTTTCAAGTCGTGTTTGACGGGTCCAAGATGTATGTGACTCTCAAGAACTCACAGCAAGTGGTGGCGACAGCGGATCTCGTGGATGGACTCTACTGGCTTCGGACGACTCAACGATCAGCGAATGTGACAACAAGTGGAACCAGTTGCGCCGATCTACATGCGAGAATGGGTCATGCTCCAGTCGATGTACTTCGCAAGATGATCGCGACCAACATGATCAAGGATGTGCGAGTCCCTCTCAAGTCGGGTGGAGCAACTACATGTCGAGGATGTCAACAAGGGAAAATGGTCCAAAAACCATTTCCAAGCAACCGAGACAAGCGCAGCTACGATACGTTTGAGCTACTTCATCTGGACATCTGCGGGCCCATGGAAAAGGATTCGCTCGGTGGCAGCAAATATTTGCTGCTGATCATCGACGAAGCCAGTGGATGCATGAAGGGCTTTTGTCTACGAGTGAAGTCCGAGAGTGAAGACTACATCCGGAAATATATCACCATGGTACAGACGCAATTCTGTAAGAAGGTCAAGTTCGTGCGACACGACGGAGCTCGCGAGTTTGCAACCAACTCGCTTCAACTGTTCTACGAAGACGAAGGCATTGAACAGCAGACAACGGTGCCGTATGCACATCAAACAAACGGAACAGCAGAGCGTGCCATTAGGACTATTGTCACGATCGGCCGCAGCATGCTTCATCATGCCAAACTGGACAAGTGTTTCTGGGCCGAAGCAGCGATGACGGCCATCTACGTCAAGAATCGACTGCCGTCACCTAAAGTCGTGCACAAGACCCCGTTTGAGATCGTCTACAACTTGAAACCAAGCGTCAAGCACATGCGAACATTCGGGTGTCAGACATACATACTGACGCCTAAAGAGAATCGACTCAAGTGGGATCCAAAGGCTCGCGCTGGCATATTCGTGGGCTACGAAGAAGTTTCGAAGGCATATCGTGTTTATGACATCGAGGCGGGGCAGGTGGTTATCAGCCGCGATGTCAACTTCGACGAGTCCACCTTTGGACTTCAACTGCCGATCACTGATGAAGATGTCGATGACCTGGACTTCGAATTGCTGGATCTTGATGACGAAGAGCTGCGTCAAATGGAGTACAAGCAAACAGGCAAGCGCAAGAACCGACTCAATGATGAAGATACAGCAGCTCCACGACCGCGTGCAGTGCGTCAACGACCAGGACTAGAAGAGTCAAGCGCGCCGGAAAACAACTCGTCACGACAAGAAGAAGACGAAGAAACGAAGGATTCTGGTGATTCAACACCGCCTGTGTTTTGGCGTGCGAGTGCAAATGCCGTTGAAGCAGCAGTGGACTTATCAGAACCCTCAACATTTGAAGCAGCAGTAAGCGGCCCTGACCAAGTGCACTGGAGAAAAGCAATTCATGCAGAACTCGAGTCAATGCGACTTCGCGGTGTGTTTCGTGCAGCCAAGCTGCCCAACGGACAACGCGCCATTGGCACAAAATGGGTGTTCAAGATCAAGCGCAAGGCGGATGGGTCAATCGAGAAGTACAAGGCACGACTTGTGGCCAAGGGTTTCCGCCAAAAGTATGGCATCGACTACACGGAGACGTTTTCGCCTGTGGTCAAGTATGTGACGCTGCGAATGGTGATCGCAATTTCCAAGCATTTTGGATGGCCCATCGACCAGCTTGATGTGGTGACAGCTTTCCTGTATGGCGTCATGAAGGAACAAGTGTTCTGCGTGATTCCTGAAGGCGTCGAACTTGACAGTACGTTCGACTGCCTGGAATTGGTGAAGTTAATTTACGGCCTCAAGCAAGCGTCGCGAGTGTGGAACGAGACGTTCGACGAGTATGTGTGCTCCATCGGATTTCAAGTATCGGACTTCGACCCATGTCTCTACATCAAGACTTCGGACGGCCATTGCGTGTTTATACTGGTCTACGTGGACGACGTCTTGGTGACTGGAAGCTCGCTCGAGCTGATTGCACAAACCAAGAACGACCTGAAGACGCGGTTCGAAATGACGGACAGCGGCAAGTGTGCGTTTGTTCTTGGGATCGAGCTTTTGGACGGTGAAGATGGCAGTGTGACACTATGTCAGCGTCGGTATGTCGATGATATCCTCAAGCGCTTTGGCATGGATGATTGCAAGGCAGTCGCAAGTCCAGTCTACATGAGCTCTCGACTTGTTTCAAGTGATGCAACTACCAAGGTCGATGCTCCTTTTCGCGAAGCTGTTGGTGCGTTGATGCACCTGACCACTGCAACGCGTCCGGACATTGCGTTTGCTGTGGGCTATGTGTCGCGGTTCATGGAAAATCCCCAAGAAGAACACTGGGTTGCAGTTAAGCGTATCTTTCGCTACCTACAAGGCACCAAGACGCATGAAATTTGCTACAAGCCAAGTGCAAGGATCGACTTCCGTGGATATTCGGATGCGGATTGGGCTGGTGATCTTACCGACCGCAAGTCAACATCGGGGTACACGTTCATGCTACTCGGTGCGCCAGTCAGTTGGGGCAGCAAGAAGCAGCCAAGTGTTTCGTTGTCCACGAGTGAAGCCGAATACATCGCACTCAGCTTGGCGATTCAAGAGGGCAAGTGGATTCATCGTCTGCTTTGTGAGATCGTGATGGCTGCCAATGAAGAAGGACCGGAACTCATGATCCATGAAGACAATCAGTCATGTATCAAGATGACGAAGAACCCAGTCAACCACGGCCGTGCCAAGCACATTGATATCAAGTACCATCACATCCGTGATGAGGTCAAGCGCGGTGAAGTGAAGCTCAAGTATTGTGAAACTGCGGTGATGTTAGCGGACATCATGACGAAGGGACTTCACGGGCCACGCCACAAGGAGATGACGGCGACTCTCGGGATTCGTGAGCATTCGGATTGAGGGGGCGTGTTGACGGTCATCGGTTTTCTACCAGTATTGGTAACCGTGACCGATCCAATCCGAACCGCCTGTTCAGCTTAGTATTTACGACGTAGTTCTTACGGTAATTACCATAGTTGATTAGACGCGTAGGATGATGAGACGCTTCACATGATTTATATGTACACCACATATAAATCATGTAGTAAGTAGTAAGCCCCGATAATCAATCACTTTCGAATCTTCCAACTATTGGGCAAGTGTTTTCTGCTCTACTCTCTTCGGTCTCTCCGCTCCGTTTGCTCCGCTTTCCTCGCTCCGATCTACAATGCAACAATATGCCTTCGAAACTTCTTCGTAGCCCACGAATATGCCAGCGCGAGCCTTTGGATCCCACTTGAGTCGATTCTCTTTAGGCGTCAGTATGTATGTCTGACACCCGAATGTTCGCATGTGCTTGACGCTTGGTTTCAAGTTGTAGACGATCTCAAACGGGGTCTTGTGCACGACTTTAGGTGACGGCAGTCGATTCTTGACGTAGATGGCCGTCATCGCTGCTTCGGCCCAGAAACACTTGTCCAGTTTGGCATGATGAAGCATGCTGCGGCCGATCGTGACAATAGTCCTAATGGCACGCTCTGCTGTTCCGTTTGTTTGATGTGCATACGGCACCGTTGTCTGCTGTTCAATGCCTTCGTCTTCGTAGAACAGTTGAAGCGAGTTGGTTGCAAACTCGCGAGCTCCGTCGTGTCGCACGAACTTGACCTTCTTACAGAATTGCGTCTGTACCATGGTGATATATTTCTGGATGTAGTCTTCACTCTCGGACTTCACTCGTAGACAAAAGCCCTTCATGCATCCACTGGCTTCGTCGATGATCAGCAGCAAATATTTGCTGCCACCGAGCGAATCCTTTTCCATGGGCCCGCAGATGTCCAGATGAAGTAGCTCAAACGTATCGTAGCTGCGCTTGTCTCGGTTGCTTGGAAATGGTTTTTGGACCATTTTCCCTTGTTGACATCCTCGACATGTAGTTGCTCCACCCGACTTGAGAGGGACTCGCACATCCTTGATCATGTTGGTCGCGATCATCTTGCGAAGTACATCGACTGGAGCATGACCCATTCTCGCATGTAGATCGGCACAACTGATTCCACTTGTTGTCACATTCGCTGATCGTTGAGTCGTCCGAAGCCAGTAGAGTCCATCCACGAGATCCGCTGTCGCCACCACTTGCTGTGAGTTCTTGAGAGTCACATACATCTTGGACCCGTCAAACACGACTTGAAACTTGCCATGGCTGTTAATCTGTGGCACCGAGAGCAGGTTCTTGCTCATACTTGGAACATATAGCGCGTTCTTGATTTCGATCTCACGCTCTTCACCGTTGGGCAGAACCACCTTTTCCATGATGGTTCCCACACCCTTGATGGCCACCTTGTTGCCATCAGCCACCAAGAGTTCGCCCTCATTGCGCTCTGCCAAACTTGCGAACTTGGTCTTGTCGTGGCAAATGTGGTGCGTTGCACCACTGTCGACGGCCCACATTCCAGACACGTCCTTGCTCGTCGAAACTCCACATTCGAACGAGACTGCAAACGCCACTCGATCGTAGCCATTGCCTTCATCATGATGTCCCCACTGGACATTGTTAGCCCCGCGTCCACGACCATTGCCGCCGCGTCGGGCTCCCCGACCTTCGTTCTTCTGCTTTGTCCAGCAACGATCCACCGTGTGTCCCACCTTGCCACAATACGTGCATTGGTAGGGCTCACGCTCGGCGCTGAATGCCTTGCTTGCATCTTCAGCCTTCACCGTAGTCGCTGTCGTTGTCCCTTTTTCTCCTTGACGCTTGGCATGCTCATTCGTCAGGACTCTCACCACATCTTGAGTGCGAAGCTCGGTGCTGCTCATTTCCATGTTGAGCACCACATTTTCGTAGCTCTTCGGAAGACTGAGTAGCAGACAAATTGCAACGTCTTCGTCTTCCATCTTCGCACCGATGCCGCTAAGCTTGGCGGAGATGTTGAGGACCTCGTTGCAGTGATGCATGACGTTCGCGCCTTCAGCCATCTTGATACTGAAAAGTTGTCGCTTGAGGTAGATGCGTCCTGCCTTCTGCGACCCACCGTACAGCGTCTTCAGACTTGTCCACGCAACCCAGGCTTCCTCGCAGTTGTCCAGCACATGATGGTAGTCCGCGTTCATGTGCAGCAGCATCATACCAAACGCGACGTTGCTTGCCTTGACGTAGTCATCGGACGCTCGCGGGTCGGTGAAAGTCGGAGTCACTTCACGGTTGACAACGTGCCAGACGGACTTCGTCAAAAACACACCGCGCATGTACCGGCTCCACGTTGCGTAATTGTCTCCGTTGAACTTGTCAATGGAGGCGTTGCTGGTGGACGACATGGCGCTTGGGCTCATAACCTGTTGCATTGTAGATCGGAGCGAGGAAAGCGGAGCAAACGGAGCGGAGAGACCGAAGAGAGTAGAGCAGAAAACACTTGCCCAATAGTTGGAAGATTCGAAAGTGATTGATTATCGGGGCTTACTACTTACTACATGATTTATATGTGGTGTACATATAAATCATGTGAAGCGTCTCATCATCCTACGCGTCTAATCAACTATGGTAATTACCGTAAGAACTACGTCGTAAATACTAAGCTGAACAGGCGGTTCGGATTGGATCGGTCACGGTTACCAATACTGGTAGAAAACCGATGACCGTCAACACTGCTCAAGAGCAAATCTGAAGTTGCGGCGAAGTTCATGGAATACGCTGCGATGGCCGAAACGCAAACCGGAAAGCGCGTGAAGTACCTTCAAAGCGACAATGGGGGTGAATACAAGTCCGACAAGCTGGCACGATTCTGCGCGGAACGGGGAATACAACAAAGGTTCACACCCCCATATACTCCTCAGCTAAACGGAGTAGCTGAGAGAATGAATCGCACGCTGGTCGAGTGTGCGCGTTGCATGATGGAACACGCTGGACTGGGAAAGAGCTACTGGGGTGAAGCAGTGATGACGGCGATGTTTCTTCGAAACCGCTGTCCAACACGTGCCATTCACCAAGACAAGTCTCCATATCAAGTGTGGACGATGAAGAAACCGATTCTGGCCAACCTTAAAGTGTTTGGATGCCACGCGTATGTTCAAGTGCCTCAAGACAAACGCGCGAAGTTCGACTCCAAGTCATCACTCTGTCGTTTCCTGGGATACGCCGAACACCAGAAGTCATATCGATTTGAGGAAGTGTCAACAGGAGCGATCAAGATCAGTCGCGATGCCACATTCATGGAAGACAAGTTTGATGAAGGTCCGCGCAACTACAACGATGAGTCAAGTGTCGTTGAGTTTGATGATCATGATGAGGACGAAGAAAAAGAAGAAGGTAAAACTGACGACGACATGGACTCGAGCGACGATGACAACGAAGACACCAGGTCTTCGAAGAGCAACATCAAGAGACACACGCGCACTCAATCACTTGAGAAAGCTACCGTCATTCCAAGTCCCAAGCGAAGAACATACAGAGGTCCGTCGCTTGAGCATGTGTCGGCGGCTGCAATGGATTTTGAAGCAGCCTACATCGTTGATTCAGTGGGGGAAACGCCGACTACATTCAAGTCGGCGATGGAATCAAGCGACTCCGGCAAGTGGAAAGAAGCGTGTGACTCGGAGTTCGATTCGCTTCAGAGAAACGACACGTGGGAAATCGTGCCTCTTCCGAAAGGTCGCAAGGCCATCGGGTGCCGATGGGTTTTTCGTGTAAAGGAGAATCAAGATGGCGAAGTTGAACGTTTCAAGGCAAGACTTGTGGCCAAAGGATTCTCACAGAAATTCGGAGTTGACTATGAAGAAACTTTCGCACCGGTGGCCAAGTTCACATCGATTCGTGTGGTGCTCAGTATGGCGGCCAAGTACGGCCTAATGCTACATCAGATGGACGTCAAGACAGCGTTTCTTAACGGCTCCCTCAACGAAGACATCTACATGGACCAGCCGGACGGATACCTGGATGCAACACAGCCGGACTATGTGTGCAAGCTAAAGAGATCACTCTACGGCTTGAAGCAATCGCCTCGCATGTGGAACCAAACAATCGATGGGTTCATGATCAAGATGGGATTCAAGAAGTGCGAATCGGACCACTGCATCTACATCAAGCGAGACGACCAAGACATGATTCTCGTGGTGCTCTACGTCGATGATCTCATCCTGGCCAGCAGCAACAACGAACTCCTCAAGTCAACCAAGATGGCGCTGAGCAAACGCTTCGAAATGACGGATCTCGGTGAGCTCGATTACTTTCTCGGCATGGAGATCAAGAACGACCGTAAGACGGGAATGGTGACTGTACAACAAACCAAGTTTCTCAAGTCCGTGTTAACCAAGTTCGGAATGGATAACAGCAAGCCAGTGAAGACGCCTCAAGATCCCGGCCTGAAGCTAACCAAGAACATGTGTGAACAAGAATGCAAGCACGAAGACACCATGTGCAACGTGCCATATCGAAGTGCTGTCGGAGGCATCATGTATCTCATGGTCGCCACACGTCCGGATCTAGCTGCTGCAGTGGGATCATTATCCCAGTTCTCGTCCGACCCATGCCCGACTCACTGGCAAGCTTTGAAGCGTGTGCTGAGATACCTGCAAGCAACGCCCAATCATGGTCTTGAGTTTACACGTGAAGAAGGAAGCCGTATCTGCGGGTACACCGACGCAGACTGGGCCGGCGACATTGAGTCAAGACGAAATACAAGCGGCTATGTGTTCATGATGAACGGAGGATGCATCAGCTGGAAAAGCCAGAAACAACGGACGGTCGCGCTATCTTCAACAGAAGCAGAATACATGGCGCTTTCCGAGGCAACCAAAGAAGCAGTATGGCTCAAAGTGCTTTTGGGGGAACTTGGTGAGATGACAAGCGACGAAGCGATCAAGATGTATGAAGACAACCAAGGATCAATCGCTCTCGCCAAGAACCCGGAGTTCCATAAGAGAACAAAACACATCGACATACGCTACCATTTTGTGCGTGAGAAGGTGGAATCAGGTGAAGTCGTTTTGGAGTATTGCCCGACTCAAGATATGCTGGCAGACATGATGACCAAGCCGATCGCCACTGTACAATTTGAAAACATTCGCGATCGACTTGGGATCCAAGGTGCCGCAGCTAACGAGTCGAGAGGGAGTGTTGAAAAGACAGCGGCTGTGAAGAAGACACCTCGTCAAGCTGCGTCAAGTGTTGAAGCAAGTGGAAGACCAAGCCTCGCTATACCGGTGGGTACCGGTATGTACCAGTAAGGGCGAAGTCAGGAAATGACGTCACTGGATGACGTCATTGCATGACGTCAGTGGGTGACGTCAGTGGGTGACGTCACTGGATGACGTCACTGCGAATAATAGGCTTAGAGGTAGTATTCAAAGTTGCGAACTAAGTACCTATTATAAATATATATTCACTTTGCGTTTTGCACTCGGACCAAGAAGTCTAAAGTTCATCAGAAGGCAATGGCTACGATCGAGTGGCGTTTGCAGTCTCGTTCGAATGTGGAGTTTCGACGAGCAAGGACGTGTCTGGAATGTGGGCCGTCGACAGTGGTGCAACGCACCACATTTGCCACGACAAGACCAAGTTCGCAAGTTTGGCAGAGCGCAATGAGGGCGAACTCTTGGTGGCTGATGGCAACAAGGTGGCCATCAAGGGTGTGGGAACCATCATGGAAAAGGTGGTTCTGCCCAACGGTGAAGAGCGTGAGATCGAAATCAAGAACGCGCTATATGTTCCAAGTATGAGCAAGAACCTGCTCTCGGTGCCACAGATTAACAGCCATGGCAAGTTTCAAGTCGTGTTTGACGGGTCCAAGATGTATGTGACTCTCAAGAACTCACAGCAAGTGGTGGCGACAGCGGATCTCGTGGATGGACTCTACTGGCTTCCGGACGACTCAACGATCAGCGAATGTGACAACAAGTGGAACCAGTTGTGCCGATCTACATGCGAGAATGGGTCATGCTCCAGTCGACGTGCTTCGCAAGATGGTCTCCAACAACATGATCAAAGATGTGGGAGTGCCTCTCAAGTCAAGTGGATCAGGTACATGTCGAGGATGTCAGCAAGGGAAATGGTCCAAAAACCATTTCCAAGCAACCGAGACAAGCGCAGCTACGATACGTTTGAGCTACTTCATCTGGACATCTGCGGGCCCATGGAAAAGGATTCGCTCGATGGCAGCAAATATTTGCTGCTGATCATCGACGAAGCCAGTGGATGCATGAAGGGCTTTTGTCTACGAGTGAAGTCCGAGAGTGAAGACTACATCCGGAAATATATCACCATGGTACAGACGCAATTCTGTAAGAAGGTCAAGTTCGTGCGACACGACGGAGCTCGCGAGTTTGCAACGAACTCGCTTCAAGATTTCTACGAGGATGAAGGCATTGAACAGCAGACGACGGTGCCGTATGCACACCAGAACAACGGAACAGCAATCGCGCCATCGGGACTATCGTCACGATCGGCCGCAGCATGCTTCACCATGCCAAGTTGGACAAGTGCTTCTGGGCTGAATTAGCAATGACGGTCATCTACGTCAAGAATCGCCTACCGTCACCAAAAATTGTGCATAAGACCCCGTTTGAGATCGTGTACAACTCCAAGCCAAGCGTCAAGCACATGCGAGTATTCGGCTGTCAGACATTTATACTGACTCCGAAGGAGAAGCGACTCAAGTGGGATCCAAAGGCTCGCGCTGGCATATTCGTGGGCTACGAAGAAGTGTCCAAGGCATATCGTGTATTTGACATTGAGGCGGGGCAGGTGGTTATCAGCCGCGATGTCAACTTCGACGAGTCCACCTTTGGACTTCAACTGCCGATCACTGATGAAGATGTCGATGACCTGGACTTCGAATTGCTGGATCTTGATGACGAAGAGCTGCGTCAAATGGAGTACAAGCAAACAGGCAAGCGCAAGAACCGACTCAATGATGAAGATACAGCAGCTCCACGACCGCGTGCAGTGCGTCAACGACCAGGACTAGAAGAGTCAAGCGCGCCGGAAAACAACTCGTCACGACAAGAAGAAGACGAAGAAACGAAGGATTCTGGTGATTCAACACCGCCTGTGTTTTGGCGTGCGAGTGCAAATGCCGTTGAAGCAGCAGTGGACTTATCAGAACCCTCAACATTTGAAGCAGCAGTAAGCGGCCCTGACCAAGTGCACTGGAGAAAAGCAATTCATGCAGAGCTCGAGTCAATGCGACTTCGCGGTGTGTTTCGTGCAGCCAAGCTGCCCAACGGACAACGCGCCATTGGCACAAAATGGGTGTTCAAGATCAAGCGCAAGGCGGATGGGTCAATCGAGAAGTACAAGGTACGACTTGTGGCCAAGGGTTTCCGCCAAAAGTATGGCATCGACTGCACGGAGACGTTTTCGCCTGTGGTCAAGTATGTGACGCTGCGAATAGTGATCGCAATTTTCAAGCATTTTGGATGGCCCATCGACCAGCTTGATGTGGTGACAGCTTTCCTGTATGGCGTCATGAAGGAACAAGTGTTCTGCGTGATTCCTGAAGGCGTCGAACTTGACAGTACGTTCGACTGCCTGGAATTGGTGAAGTCAATTTACGGCCTCAAGCAAGCGTCGCGAGTGTGGAACGAGACGTTCGACGAGTATGTGTGCTCCATCTGATTTCAAGTATCGGACTTCGACCCATGTCTCTACATCAAGACTTCGGACGGCCATTGCGTGTTTATACTGGTCTACGTGGACGACGTCTTGGTGACTGGAAGCTCGCTCGAGCTGATTGCACAAACCAAGAACGACCTGAAGACGCGGTTCGAAATGACGGACAGCGGCAAGTGTGCGTTTGTTCTTGGGATCGAGCTTTTGGACGGTGAAGATGGCAGTGTGACACTATGTCAGCGTCGGTATGTCGATGATATCCTCAAGCGCTTTGGCATGGATGATTGCAAGGCAGTCGCAAGTCCAGTCGACATGAGCTCTCGACTTGTTTCAAGTGATGCAACTACCAAGGTCGATGCTCCTTTTCGCGAAGCTGTTGGTGCGTTGATGCACCTGACCACTGCAACGCGTCCGGACATTGCGTTTGCTGTGGGCTATGTGTCGCGGTTCATGGAAAATCCCCAAGAAGAACACTGGGTTGCAGTTAAGCGTATCTTTCGCTACCTACAAGGCACCAAGACGCATGGAATTTGCTACAAGCCAAGTGCAAGGATCGACTTCCGTGGATATTCGGATGCGGATTGGGCTGGTGATCTTACCGACCGCAAGTCAACATCGGGGTACACGTTCATGCTACTCGGTGCGCCAGTCAGTTGGGGCAGCAAGAAGCAGCCAAGTGTTTCGTTGTCCACGAGTGAAGCCGAATACATCGCACTCAGCTTGGCGATTCAAGAGGGCAAGTGGATTCATCGTCTGCTTTGTGAGATCGTGATGGCTGCCAATGAAGAAGGACCGGAACTCATGATCCATGAAGACAATCAGTCGTGTATCAAGATAACAAAGAACCCAGTCAACCACGGCCGTGCCAAGCACATTGATGTCAAGTACCATCACATCCGTGATGAGGTCAAGCGCGGTGAAGTGAAGCTCAAGTACTGTGAAACTGCGGTGATGTTAGCGGACATCATGACGAAGGGACTTCACGGGCCACGCCACAAAGAGATGACGGCGACTCTCGGGATTCGTGAGCATTCGGATTGAGGGGGCGTGTTGACGGTCATCGGTTTTCTACCAGTATTGGTAACCGTGACCGATCCAATCCGAACCGCCTGTTCAGCTTAGTATTTACGACGTAGTTCTTACGGTAATTACCATAGTTGATTAGACGCGTAGGATGATGAGACGCTTCACATGATTTATATGTACACCACATATAAATCATGTAGTAAGTAGTAAGCCCCGATAATCAATCACTTTCGAATCTTCCAACTATTGGGCAAGTGTTTTCTGCTCTACTCTCTTCGGTCTCTCCGCTCCGTTTGCTCCGCTTTCCTCGCTCCGATCTACAATGCAGCAACAGAACCGCCTGTTCAGCTTAGTATTTACGACGTAGTTCTTACGGTAATTACCATAGTTGATTAGACGCGTAGGATGATGAGACGCTTCACATGATTTATATGTACACCACATATAAATCATGTAGTAAGTAGTAAGCCCCGATAATCAATCACTTTCGAATCTTCCAACTATTGGGCAAGTGTTTTCTGCTCTACTCTCTTCGGTCTCTCCGCTCCGTTTGCTCCGCTTTCCTCGCTCCGATCTACAATGCAACAGGTTATGAGCCCAAGCGCCATGTCGTCCACCAGCAACGCCTCCATTGACAAGTTCAACGGAGACAATTACGCAACGTGGAGCCGGTACATGCGCGGTGTGTTTTTGACGAAGTCCGTCTGGCACGTTGTCAACCGTGAAGTGACTCCGACTTTCACCGACCCGCGAGCGTCCGATGACTACGTCAAGGCAAGCAACGTCGCGTTTGGTATGATGCTGCTGCACATGAACGCGGACTACCATCATGTGCTGGACAACTGCGAGGAAGCCTGGGTTGCGTGGACAAGTCTGAAGACGCTGTACGGTGGGTCGCAGAAGGCAGGACGCATCTACCTCAAGCGACAACTTTTCAGTATCAAGATGGCTGAAGGCGCGAACGTCATGCATCACTGCAACGAGGTCCTCAACATCTCCGCCAAGCTTAGCGGCATCGGTGCGAAGATGGAAGACGAAGACGTTGCAATTTGTCTGCTACTCAGTCTTCCGAAGAGCTACGAAAATGTGGTGCTCAACATGGAAATGAGCAGCACCGAGCTTCGCACTCAAGATGTGGTGAGAGTTCTGACGAATGAGCATGCCAAGCGTCAAGAAGAAAAAGGGACAACGACAGCGACTACGGTGAAGGCTGAAGATGCAAGCAAGGCATTCAGCGCCGAGCGTGAGCCCTACCAATGCACGTATTGTGGCAAGGTGGGACACACGGTGGATCGCTGCTGGACAAAGCAGAAGAACGAAGGTCGGGGAGCCCGACGCGGCGGCAATGGTCGTGGACGCGGGGCTAACAATGTCCAGTGGGGACATCATGATGAAGGCAATGGCTACGATCGAGTGGCGTTTGCAGTCTCGTTCGAATGTGGAGTTTCGACGAGCAAGGACGTGTCTGGAATGTGGGCCGTCGACAGTGGTGCAACGCACCACATTTGCCACGACAAGACCAAGTTCGCAAGTTTGGCAGAGCGCAATGAGGGCGAACTCTTGGTGGCTGATGGCAACAAGGTGGCCATCAAGGGTGTGGGAACCATAATGGAAAAGGTGGTTCTGCCCAACGGTGAAGAGCGTGAGATCGAAATCAAGAACGCGCTATATGTTCCAAGTATGAGCAAGAACCTGCTCTCGGTGCCACAGATTAACAGCCATGGCAACTTTCAAGTCGTGTTTGACGGGTCCAAGATGTACGTGACTCTCAAGAACTCACAGCAAGTGGTGGCGACAGTGATGAACTTTAGACTTCTTGGTCCGAGTGCAAAACGCAAAGTAAATATATATTTATAATAGGTACTTAGTTCGCAACTTTGAATACTACCTCTAAGCCTATTATTCGCAGTGACGTCATCCAGTGACGTCACCCACTGACGTCATCCAGTGACGTCATTTCCTGACTTCGCCCTTACTGGTACATACCGGTACCCACCGGTATAGCGAAGCTTGGTCTTCCACTTGCTTCAACACTTGACGCAGCTTGACGAGGTGTCTTCTTCACAGCCGCTGTCTTTTCAACACTCCCTCTCGACTCGTTAGCTGCGGCACCTTGGATCCCAAGTCGATCGCGAATGTTTTCAAATTGTACAGCGGCGATCGGCTTGGTCATCATGTCTGCCAGCATATCTTGAGTCGGGCAATACTCCAAAACGACTTCACCTGATTCCACCTTCTCACGCACAAAATGGTAGCGTATGTCGATGTGTTTTGTTCTCTTATGGAACTCCGGGTTCTTGGCGAGAGCGATTGATCCTTGGTTGTCTTCATACATCTTGATCGCTTCGTCGCTTGTCATCTCACCAAGTTCCCCCAAAAGCACTTTGAGCCATACTGCTTCTTTGGTTGCTTCGGAAAGCGCCATGTATTCTGCTTCTGTTGAAGATAGCGCGACCGTCCGTTGTTTCTGGCTTTTCCAGCTGATGCATCCTCCGCTCATCATGAACACATAGCCGCTTGTACTTCGTCTTGACTCAATGTCGCCGGCCCAGTCTGCGTCGGTGTACCCGCAGATACGGCTTCCTTCTTCACGTGTAAACTCAAGACCATGATTGGGCGTTGCTTGCAGGTATCTCAGCACACGCTTCAAAGCTTGCCAGTGAGTCGGGCATGGGTCGGACGAGAACTGGGATAATGATCCCACTGCAGCAGCTAGATCCGGACGTGTGGCGACCATGAGATACATGATGCCTCCGACAGCACTTCGATATGGCACGTTGCACATGGTGTCTTCGTGCTTGCATTCTTGTTCACACATGTTCTTGGTTAGCTTCAGGCCGGGATCTTGAGGCGTCTTCACTGGCTTGCTGTTATCCATTCCGAACTTGGTTAACACGGACTTGAGAAACTTGGTTTGTTGTACAGTCACCATTCCCGTCTTACGGTCGTTCTTGATCTCCATGCCGAGAAGGTAATCGAGCTCACCGAGATCCGTCATTTCGAAGCGTTTGCTCAGCGCCATCTTGGTTGACTTGAGGAGTTCGTTGTTACTGCTGGCCAGGATGAGATCATCGACGTAGAGCACCACGAGAATCATGTCTTGGTCGTCTCGCTTGATGTAGATGCAGTGGTCCGATTCGCACTTCTTGAATCCCATCTTGATCATGAACCCATCGATTGTTTGGTTCCACATGCGAGGCGATTGCTTCAAGCCGTAGAGTGATCTCTTTAGCTTGCACACATAGTCCGGCTGTGTTGCATCCAGGTATCCGTCCGGCTGGTCCATGTAGATGTCTTCGTTGAGGGAGCCGTTAAGAAACGCTGTCTTGACGTCCATCTGATGTAGCATTAGGCCGTACTTAGCCGCCATACTGAGCACCACACGAATCGATGTGAACTTGGCCACCGGTGCGAAAGTTTCTTCATAGTCAACTCCGAATTTCTGTGAGAATCCTTTGGCCACAAGTCTTGCCTTGAAACGTTCAACTTCGCCATCTTGATTCTCCTTTACACGAAAAACCCATCGGCACCCGATGGCCTTGCGACCTTTCGGAAGAGGCACGATTTCCCACGTGTCGTTTCTCTGAAGCGAATCGAACTCCGAGTCACACGCTTCTTTCCACTTGCCGGAGTCGCTTGATTCCATCGCCGACTTGAATGTAGTCGGCGTTTCCCCCACTGAATCAACGATGTAGGCTGCTTCAAAATCCATTGCAGCCGCTGACACATGCTCAAGCGACGGACCTCTGTATGTTCTTCGCTTGGGACTTGGAATGACGGTAGCTTTCTCAAGTGATTGAGTGCGCGTGTGTCTCTTGATGTTGCTCTTCGAAGACCTGGTGTCTTCGTTGTCATCGTCGCTCGAGTCCATGTCGTCGTCAGTTTTACCTTCTTCTTTTTCTTCGTCCTCATCATGATCATCAAACTCAACGACACTTGACTCATCGTTGTAGTTGCGCGGACCTTCATCAAACTTGTCTTCCATGAATGTGGCATCGCGACTGATCTTGATCGCTCCTGTTGACACTTCCTCAAATCGATATGACTTCTGGTGTTCGGCGTATCCCAGGAAACGACAGAGTGATGACTTGGAGTCGAACTTCGCGCGTTTGTCTTGAGGCACTTGAACATACGCGTGGCATCCAAACACTTTAAGGTTGGCCAGAATCGGTTTCTTCATCGTCCACACTTGATATGGAGACTTGTCTTGGTGAATGGCACGTGTTGGACAGCGGTTTCGAAGAAACATCGCCGTCATCACTGCTTCACCCCAGTAGCTCTTTCCCAGTCCAGCGTGTTCCATCATGCAACGCGCACACTCGACCAGCGTGCGATTCATTCTCTCAGCTACTCCGTTTAGCTGAGGAGTATATGGGGGTGTGAACCTTTGTTGTATTCCCCGTTCCGCGCAGAATCGTGCCAGCTTGTCGGACTTGTATTCACCCCCATTGTCGCTTTGAAGGTACTTCACGCGCTTTCCGGTTTGCGTTTCGGCCATCGCAGCGTATTCCATGAACTTCGCCGCAACTTCAGATTTGCTCTTGAGCAGATAGACGACACAGTATCTTGACTTGTCATCAATGAATGTCACGAAGTACCGTTTTCCACTGAAAGTTGCCATCGACATCGGTCCGCATACGTCGCTGTGAATCACTTCGAGGAGTTTGGAGGTGCGAGCTGTAGTGTTTGATTGGAAGCGCACTCGAGTCCGTTTTCCCAGAGCACAACCTTCACACACGTCCCACTTCTTCACCGAAGATATGTCGATGCCAATTCCAATGTTCTTCGTCACGATGCAATTGAGTCCATCGTGACCTATGTGGCCAAGCCGAAGGTGCCAGAGGTACGACTTGGTGCCCCCTTGACATCCCGACGACTTGGCTGCATTTGCTTGTTCCGGCGCCACTGGAGTCATTTGCAGCTTGAACAGTCCTTTACCTTCACGGGCACCAATTTTCCACTTGGTCCCTTTCGCTTCTCCATAGCACCCATCCTTCGTGAACGTCACTGGGCCG